GGGGGGGGTTTCACAGGCAGGCGGCGGTGGTATTGAATCGACGAGGCCCTGGTATGTTATCATCTTTGATCCTCTCCAGTCGGGAATGTCGTATTTCGTGACATTAGTTTCAATTCATCGCAGATCCTGCACTCACAGCAGAAGAAACGTGCCAGGGTGATTTGCCCCTTGATAATCAATGGGGATGAACCCATGCTCAGCGCCACCCCCACCTGTCCATTTCGTCCCGTTGGGCCTGCTGCACGATAGGTACAGCGCAACCAGGAGATAGCTGGCTGCTACAGAGTTGCCCATCTGTGCATGGCAGCCAGTACCATCCATGAAGGAGGCATGCAAGTGGGTGGGCGAAAGTAGTTGAGCTTGGCTGGGGAGCGCGCTTAGTGCCCAAGGTAACCACTGGTTTTAGCTCTCGGCTTGTTTTACACATGTGCCATTATAGTGTGTGGGGGGATGGCCCCGATAGGACAGCAACATAAATGCTGCTTGTAAATCTGGTTGCCTGCGAGGTAGGTACCTAACATGGTAAGGACATGGGCAGGCACGCGAGCAAATATCCTTGGGTGTGGTCGTCTCGTTAGTCTCGTTGGTACATGCCGTCGTTACCTACCTCCCCTGCCTTGGCAGATACCAGGAGATACCAGAATCCCTACCGGGGCCGACACCCGCCTGTTTACACAGTATTCGCCATCGCGCCGCCCTTGTCGCCTGGCAGTTCAGTCTAGCCACTCTGGGATAGCTGCGCGTGTGCTACGTTAGCTGCCGTCTGATAGGGCTGTTAGGCCTGTTGGTGGATGCCGCGTTGTTTTTTTTTTTTTAGGTCGCGCCTAGGTACTCAGCCAAGTGGGGAAGGCTGCTCTTGGCCCAGACCAGACGGACGAGCTTGGCAACGCGCCTTGATTTCCACCAAGGCTTTAATCACTTCACGAGCGCATTAGTGTCTTGTAGCCGGGCAGACATGTTGGAAATGAGAAAGGCAGGCAGGAACAAGCGCGGCTCGAGGTTCATGGGGGTGGGTTTCCAACGTCGGATGGAACATGGAGCGCAGGCTGGTCGGTTCGCAGGCCCGAGCATGCGCTGTTCTTGTGTCGAGCCGAATGCCGGTTCCGAGTACCTGGCCGCAGGTGTCAGTCACGCTGGAGTCGTTGGAGCAATTGGTTGGGGTGGGCTGCTGGTCTCTGGCTATCTCTGGCTGTCAACTGTTGGTGGTGCACGGTCATTTGGGCAGGTGGGGTTTGCGGTTTGCATCCGATGGGAGCTGCCATTGGATCACCAGCCGCCCAACTATGTAGGCACACGCAACCGATCACAGGATCGCTTGGCAGTGGCAGAGAAGATGTGAAAAAACGTCACGCATATGCGGTGGGCCATAAATAGAAATGGAAGGCTTCCATGGATTTGAGTTGAGTTGAAAATGGGAAGTCGCATCGGGTGGCAGACCGTTGGCTCCTTCCATCAATGCGGTTGACATCACTCTGGCACTCTGGCTACACACACACGCACAAGAAAACAAGCACGAACCACCCTCCATCAGCAACCCCCACCTCCACGGCTGGCGCTAAGCTTTCATTGCTGACGCGACTAGCCGATTTGCCACATTTCCGCCAACGGCAGCTGTAGCGCGTCGCTCGTGATCGCGACCACCCTTGAATCACAACGCCCGCCCCCAAATGGGGTCCTGATTCGCGAACCTTCCATCGCCTCACTGTCCGTGAAGCTGTCGCGCCTACCACAAAAAATAAAAATAAATAAAAATAAATACGGCAGTTTTGCAGCCCGTTGTACCTATTTATTCCTATCTTTTGCCTATTTTTCTTCTTCTGGTGGGCGTGCCTGTTCACCACCCTCGTCACCAGCAGGCCTCGCCGCCAAGATCCGGGCACCTAGTCTTCCGGACCTGCGGGGGCTGCGCATCGTCACATCACAGTCCACCGGTGCAGGCCGGCCATCGCCGCGGGTCCCATTTGAGGCCACTCGGCTGTATCCACCCCTAGCCGCGCCGCCAGGGGTGTCCGCTTTTGCTGATTCGGCACCGAGCTTGTCGGGCCTCCCCGAGCAAAACGACGGTCGAGGCGATGACGCCTAGCGCCTGCGAGCTTCCATCCTACGGCGAGGCCACGGCCGCCATCGACGGCTGGGCCGTCATCGCCCCCTACGTCCCGGTCCGTGCTTACATCAGCCTCTGTCTGGTTTCGTCCAGGCTGTACGGCCACTTCGCTCCCCGGCTCTGGAATGATCCTCTACGTGCTGTCCAGCTCTTGGGGCTACATCGCAACGACGGTGAGGAATGCATCTTCCTCTGCGCACGCCTGCCACTCTCCTGACCATGCTTGCCCTCGCCTCCTGTCCCGTCCTTGTGCACGCACGTCTTCTGGCTTAGACCACGTCCACCACAAAAAAGATGGCAGTTTTCCAGGCCCCAGGTGTTTAAATGTCAATGCCATGACGTGTGCACCCTTACCCCTGGCCCCCAGAAACGGTCGGCTCCCTATTCATTGTTGACTATTGTGTGCTCACAACCTATATCACACCCATCAAGAGCTCCACTGGTATCTGCACCGGTTCATCGGCCGCTCCGTGAGCATCTCCAGGGCCTCGACGCGCGCTCTTGTGTTCACTCTGGACTTTAGGGATTTTGGCCGCGCCACCGCCGACTTCCTGTCGGACGAGGTCGTGCATGCGTCCAACGACACGCTTCGCCAGTGCCAGACGCTGTTCCCAGCGCTGCGCTGCTTGCTCCTCGATTCACATCCCGTCTTCGACCCTAGTGCTCTAGCCTGGCAGTCCCCGGGTGAACAGGATGGCCAGGGTCAGCAGCGCCCTCTGCTCCTTAGCGCTGTAGGCCGCAGCCCTGAGCTGCAAGCCACGTACCTTGCATCCGACTACATGAAAAGCCTGGTCTATCTTGACATCTCGTATCTCCCTGGCTCCCTGCGGGCTGCCCTGAGCCGACGGGCAATCGGGCCTGCCACGCTTCCAGGCCTCAGGGTGCTCAAAGCTCGGGGCCGTGAGCTAGAGGACGATACAGCTGTCTTGCTCGGCATTCGGCTCATGCGACAGCTTTGGAGCCTGGACCTGGGCGGCAACCGCTTGACGGAGCATGGCCTCCTGGGGCTGCTTTCGTGCTGCCTCTCACCTCGCGTCTTCCAGTCGGACGACCGTTTCTCGGTGGAGGGGAAGGTCCATGTCACCCAAAACACCCTTTTAAACGAATACGGCCCCTACGCGGTCATCACCGAGTCGGACCACAGTGCTGCGCACAACCACCCGGATCGACATTTTGCGGATACGCCAGCATACCAGATGCGTGATGATGAGCCCGCCACAACGCAGCGGCCGGATGGCACGGCCCCCATCCTAGGCGATGGACCAGATGACCTTATTCACGCCTTGTCTCGAGGTCCCGGCGGTGATCCGATTGGTGCTCCATTGGCCAATGTCTTGGCCTCCCGCCCCTGTCAGGGGTTTCTAGGACTGAGCCATCTCACCGTCGATGGCAATAGGATCTCGCTCAATGGCTTGCAAAAGGCGATCCGTAGGTCGTATGGTGCCTTTGAGCACCTCGATTGCGAGATGCTGATGATGAGGCCGCCGCCTGCCTCACCTGCGGGCACGCATCTCTCGCCTTCCACTAGGATCTGTGGCTTCATTGGGGGCTCCCACCTTCTGCGACCCGTGGTCTCATCCTGCCTGCGAAGCTTGCGCATCCACCATTCGCTTGTAACGCAGGTGCCCACAATCTTGTCGCTGGAGGAGACGACACCGTCTCTTGCAAATATCTGGGTCGCTGAAGAGCTACTGCTTCCAGGGGTTGAGCTTGCCGACACACCGACTGGTGCCTTCGCCCCCGACATGAACCCTAGACTGACATGGCTGACGCTGACGAACCTGCCACGACGCTCCACGGGCCGCCTAATCCAGAAACTGGCAAACTTTGTGGAGCTGGCGTATGAACAGGAGCGCGCAATTCTAGACACGGCGGCGGCGCTACAGACCTCCCGTAGGAGCCCGACCCTACTCGCGGGGCTGCGGCGCATCCGGCTAGAGTTTGAGCCCGACCTGATTCACGAGGCGGTTGAGGATTTGGATCGTGGGGACAACCCCGCGTCTGGTGGCCATGATGTCGAGTTCTCATTCTTCAGAGCCTGGGGTCCCGAGTTACGGCCATCGACGCCACCTCAGCCGCAACATGTGGGGGATAGTCGGACATGGGCTACGACAGCAGGAACCGCCGGGGAATCACCGCTGACGGCTAGTGGGCAGATACTCCCTGGTCTAAGAGAAGGGGATGTTATGGTCGATCCGGACGGAAGTGGGCAGTACGTGACCCGAAGGATTATATGGAACGAGTTCCAGGAGCAGGAGGTGCACGTGTGGATAGGGCCCGGGGCGGCCGCGTCCCCACACCCGGCAGTGAACGAGTACGTGAGGATGCTGCGGGAGTTTCCCTCTTTACGTTCTGGCTACCTCGGGGTAGGCCCTGTCACGCCTTCGCAGGTAACAGCCGGCGTGCCGCCGGGCGTGTACATCTTCCAGTGGGCTTGGGAGGCCATGATCTGGCGCGACGTGTGCGGTGGCCGAAGGACCAGCCCCGGCAGGCAGGACCTGCGATCGATGCACGACGTTGTGGCGGAGCTGAAGCGGTTCCGCGAGACTTCCAGCAAGGCGGGGAAACATTGGACCGGTAAACTAGAGGTCGTCACCAAGGTCAGGGCGGCGTCCTTCGAAGCCTGGTAGAGCTTACAGGTCCCAGGAATTATAGTTGTTAATGTCATGGGCGTTCATATATAATCTTTCCTATGTGAGCTTTCCTATATCAGTTTTCCTGTGTAAGTTTTCCTGTAAGTTTTCCTATGTAAATTTTCATCAATGAGCTTTCCTATGTCAGCTTTCCTCTGGCTTTATTCCCACTTTCCTTTTTGTCCCTCTTACTGTTATTGTTCTTATTTCTCTCCCCAACAGGAACTGTCCACCGTAGTAACAATTCTAGTCCCCAGGGCGTGTACCAACAGCCCACCGGCTTCCGTCAGTCTCAATCCACACGCACGTATGCTAGTTTAGTCCACCGAGCGTAGCGCAATTCACCAGCGGGCTTGCTGCATGGTACTTTTTTAGCGTCCAGCGGCAACGGCGTCGTCGACTAGCGTCCCTTCACGCCGTCACCCTTTCTCTCCTCCTCCTCCTGTTTCGCCACTAGCGAGGCTTGCTTAGCCTGGCGTTTAGTTGGTTCAATCGCACTTTGATGGAGGAGGGGGGGGGGGCGTGCGCGCTGTCTCCAAGAGTGGCAACCCATGGGAGCGGAGGTGGAGCGAGGAAAATGAGAGCCGTTTTCTCTAAACTAGTGACGATGGCCTCTATTTTTGGATAGGGCGCTCGCGCGCATACACACACACGCACGCACGCGCGCACGGTAACGCAGAGGGCACTTGTCGGAGCACCCAGGCAAAAACTCTGACGCCCCACCCATCCACATTTGGTGTCCGGGAGGTTCCTTTTCCTCAATATCAACCTCGTGTCAGGCAAATCTGCTTATTATTGCTGTGGTTTTTTTCTTCTCTCCCGTGTCAGCTGGACATGCATCGCCAAGCGCATTCCCCATCCCTATTCTTCTTCGTCGTTCTTTTGACCTGGCAGTCCACAGGACCATAGCGTGAATAACCCACTGCTGTGCCAGGGAGGGATGGGGGTGGGGGTGGGGTTAGCAGGTGTGACCCCGATGTAGGTGGCTGGCCAATCAGCGCCCTTTCCGTCAGGGGACTCGCCGGACCGGACTCGGACGCAAAACGAGGGGTAAGAGCAAAACCATGGGCTGTCTGTCTTTGCCGTAAGTGGCGCAGATCTTGTGCTGGACGGATGTGTGGAAAGGGAGGTTGGTCCTCGAGGCGGATACTGTACAAGACAAAATAGCGCCTAGTGGTGGATGATAAAAAGAGCCGAAGGGGCCCGGGCGGCGGGTGGTTCTAGCAGCTGCCTCCTATTGTGACAGACACATGTCTTGCTGGGTGGCTGGCTGTGTGGTGGAGATGGGCGGCGAGGCAGCTGAACATGGGAGGGACAGCAACACCAGGTCGAGCGTCAGGCACATGTGCAAATAGGACGTAGGATGCAAGAGCCAAGCAAAATGCTGTGGTGTTGGTATTCCTCAAGATTCTATCATGATGTACTGCCGCCGCTGCCGTTGAGCGATGGGGATATGGCAAACTATGGTGTTCAATGCTGAAAATGACAGACAGGTTAGATGCAGGCTGTGCCGGAAACGCCAGAAGGATGTTTGTGAGAAGGAGAGGCAGGTTAAGAGATAGGAGCTAGAAAAAAGGATAAAGAGATGAGAGATGAAAAGCAAGCAAAAATGTACATAGGAGGAAACGAGCGTATGATGGTAACAAAAAAATCCCTTCAAACAGCAAAATGGTCAGATCACGATCCCCCGCTGTGCCCAGCCATTCCTGCCCTTCCAGGCAAGAACCACCAAGACGCATGCGACCCAGACGCTGGCCGACATGGCCCAAAACGTGGTGGCATAGCACACGGTGCCGTAGCAGAATATGTCGCCGCCGTCTCCACCATGGCCGGGCTGCTGCGGCGCGGTCTCAGCACTTCTACTGCGGGCAGCCGCCGACGCGCCGGCCTCGTAGACGGCCGAGTATATGAGCCCCCACATGGTGGCCCCCAGGGCGGGCATTGTGGCGACGATGCCCCAGTTGGTGGCAAAGTTCTCGACGCCCCAGATGACGGTAATGATGATGGGCGTCAGGCTGAAGACGGCGCCGTACCCGGCCCCGACCAGGCTGGACACGATCCAGAAGCGGTCGCCGTGCCCCTGGGCCACACCCGAGGCCAGCGTCGCCAGGCCGGCCGAGAGGAGGGCGGCCGAGAAGAGGAGGAAGCTGACGCGCGAGACGGACGGCCTGCACGAGAAGCACCCCGACGACGTCGGGTGGCGTTCGAGCATCTGGGATGAGGTGAGCTGGATGTGCTGGCTCCCCGGGCTGGGCGCCAGCAGGTCCGTCAGCGTGCCCGTGGCCAGGCGGGCGATGGTGCTGGTGATGCCAATGATGGAGACGTGGGTCGCGACCGTCGTCAGCGGCTGGCCGCCGCCACCCTGGGCCGCGGGCGGGTACAGCGTCTTGATGACGGTGCCCATGTTGTTGATGAAGGCCTCGCCAGGCCCGACCATGAAGAAGAAGCCGGCGGCAAACAGCCACATGGTGTGGTCCGTCAGGAACCGGCGCGTCTCAGCGTTGAGCACCCACTCCTTCTTCATAGCCTGCATGTCCTCGACCCTTTGCTCACTAGCTAGGAGCGCCGCCTCCTCGTCCGGGCCCTTAGACGACGGATCGATATCGCGGGTGCTGCCGTCGGGGTTGACGGCAGTGTCGTCACTGGAGCTGTTAAAGTCATCGCTGCCGCCTGTGGCCACGTAGGCGGGGTCTTCAAAGGGGTTGCTCCTCTCCACGACCGTACCCATGGTCCCGTAGCCACCAGCGCTGGCGGCAATCCTACCGCCGCCTGGGGTGAAGAGGGCGCTGCCGGTGAGCAGGCCGCTCCGCTCGAGTTCTTCGACAGCTTCATCTATCAGCTCGTCCTCGTTCACGATGCGGAGGCAGAAGAAGCCGATGACGCCGGCAATTGCGAGCACGACGGCCAGGAAGATAAAAAAGCGGAACACGTCGACATCACCGCGGTTGCCGTCGCCAAGGCGCTCGTACAAGACGCGGCTGCCGACCTGGCTCTGCCACATGCCGCTGAGCCCAAAGGCGGCAATAGGCATGGCCAGGGCCAGGCCCCGGTGCTTGCCCGTTCCGAAATCTGCAGGGTCAAAACTGTCAGTGGCATGTCCCGCGCATCAAGCATGTGCACACCATTACGGGCGGGTCTGAGTGGCAGTTTCTGGCATGGTCGGGACTGACTCTTGGCGCACGTGGCCACGGCGCTGAGATACATGCTGGCGGTGCCGACGCCTATGCAGACGAAAGCCGAGATCATGAGAGCGTATGAGATGGGCCCGCCAGTCACGGTGCCGCTGTGAAGGCTGTTGTGGGGCGGGCGGCCATTACGGACGGCATCGTCGACGTGGGCAAAGACGGTAGCGGCGAGCGAGTAGCCCGTGGCGAAGATGCCGGCCGAGGCGAGCGAGAGCGGCGCGGGACCGATGCGGTCGCACAAGTAGCCCAGCAAGGGCACGGGCAGGTAGGAGGATACAGATCCGGCGATGGCCACGCCGTTGACCTCGAACTGGGTGTAGCGCAGACGCGATTGGAAGATGTGGCCGTAGAGCGAGAAGACGGTGATGGAGCCGGCGCACAGGGCCGACAGGATGGCCGAAGCGAAGGCGACTTTGCGGGCACGGGCGGCAGCGGCTGTGTTTCTACTGCGGCTGCTCCGGCGACGGCGGAACCACGGGCCAGCGGGGCGGCCGAGGGGCGAGAGGGAGCGGATCGATGACGCGGCCGAGGAGAGGGGGCCGAGTGTCGAAGGCGCGGCCGAGGACGAGGAGCTCGCGGAGAGGGATCGTTGGCGGCGCTGGAGCAGAGCGGCCTGGGCCGGGGAGCTCGCCATGGTGGTGCCGTGGGACCTGCAGGTGAGATGGGCGGCGGGCTGGCAGCCTTGCTCACGGAGCACAGCGCCGCGACTAGCACAGATGCACGTCTGGACCGCTCGCGTGCGCACGCCCTATCTGTGCTGGAGCTGAAGGTGTAAGGCGTGCGGCCTGGGCCTGGGCCTGGGCTGGAAGCAGTGGAAGCGAGCTGCGACTGCGGCTGGGCGGATTAGAGTTTGGGGTACAGGCTCTGGCCTTGCATGCAGCCGGCGCCCAAGGGATGTTTACTGTCTGTTCGTCTGGCTGGCCGAGTCGGGATTGAATCGTCTGAAGCGATTTGCGTTGGCGGTCTTGTCTCGATGGGATTTGGAACGAGCGCCGTTGGTGTCGCGCCTCGATCAGTGCTCAGGATCAGTGCTCAGCGCCCCAGCCTCGGACCGTGGAAATTGCGCAAAGGAAGGACGAGAAAAGAAAAACAAAAGCACAAAGTCGGGCACAGCCAACAAGAAAGCAACAAAGCTGCAAACGAGCACGCGGCACGACAGAGAAATAGCGGCTTCCTACTCGCGCGAAACCGCGGCTATGATGGCGCAAAAAGGGGGCTTTTGATTCCGTCTATTTCCTCGCCGTTCGCTCTCTGGGCTCGCCCTGAGACGGGATAACTGACTCCGCCTCCTGCCTGGCACGCTGCGCTGGTGACAGCGGCCTGACGTGATGGCCCCGGCATCGGTGGGCGCTACCCGCCAAATCCCCGCCATTTGGCCTCGCGTGACCACTGTCTAGCTGCCGGTTAGGTAAGCACCACTGCAGACCGCCAAGCGCCCAACCAAGGCTGTCCCCGCCAACGAGGCTCTGGTGATGGCGAAGCGTGACACGGCAGGGTCTGGGTTTGATTGCCCTAGTGCTGTGCTGTATGGCGAAATTTCTGTCCTTGTCGAGCAAGAGGCACTCGCGCACGCTACCGCCCCTTGATTCGACTGTTTCTGGCCACCGTCATTGTATAGGTATTGTGTAGGTACTCGAGTAGGTACCTGTAGATACTTGGGTACGTAGCTTCGGCTCCGGCTCGTCGGCGTGCCTGACTCTTGCCGCTCCCGTGATATCATCCACCAGCCTGGCTCGTGCAAGAAGGATGTCTCCTTGCAAACATGGCCACTGTCTCTCGAGACCACCGAGGATAAAAAAGGAGGCGTCGATAGCACTCTCTGGTAGAGATAACCCTGATTCCAAGAATAGAAGCAACCTTAGGCCGATACACCGCTTTTTGCAACGAATAGGCAAAGAGAGTGGTGAGCATGTGTTTGCTACAGTTGATCAATTTGCCAACGTGCAAAAGAGCAAAGACCAAACCGAAGAGATTGGCTGCCCAAAATTCCGGGCCCCATAGATCACGTGTACCCTACCAAGCCACACCGCCACAGCATTACCCGACCTAAGCCCGGCTCAGCCCCTCAGATGAGTCTTCCCCAACCCAGACGCACACAATTGCCGCCGACTTGGAAAACCCCCCCAAAAAACCATTTGTCGTCGTCGTTTGATCACACTCCGCCCGCAATCTTCCCCCTCCTGTCACCAAATCTCAGCCGACGAAAAATCACATCTCGCAAACATGGGAAAGCAGCACGGATCTCTTGCCCGCGCCGGTAAGGCCTAATCCCTCCCTGATTGATGGAATCGACGCCGTGTGCACGCCAACGCCGCGACGCCGACCGTCACGTCGCCGCCTCGATTGCACCGCGCCGATGAGGAAAACCGCAGCACCGGCTTTTTCGGCGTAGCCATCCTCAGAACCACCGCCTTCGGCTGGCTAACGCTGTTTATCTGTGTCCGTTCAGGCAAGGTCAAGTCCCAGACCCCCAAGGTTGAGCCCCAGGAGAAGGCCAAGAGGGCCAAAGGCCGTGCCCACAAGAGGGAGCAGTACACTCGCCGCTTCGTCAATGTCACCCTTGCCCCCGGCGGCAAGAGGAAGGTACGCGATCCTCCCGATGGGCCACGCAGGCAGCGCGCGATGACCCGCGGTCCTGGTGGATGGACGAGGGGTGGCAGGCGGATGCGAATGACCAATAGCTGACACCACGCCTCGCAGATGAACCCCAACCCTACCGCTTAAAATGGAGATGCGACGATAGGACGGCTGGATTCGACCCGAACCAATCCATGGCGACATCCCCGACCGAAAACGATCGACTCGATCTTGCCCTCTGGGCTGCGTCGGAGGATCCGGCCGCTCAGCTGACTGTGGTCACTCTTTTTTACGATGCGTTTTTTCCACGACTCCCCAGGGCTAGACAGCCCCTGTGGGAGCGGCGTTGCCAAACGGACATTTGCCAGGCTCGGATGTGTGGGCCTTGGTTTGGTCGGGGATCATTTTCGGTATGGGTTTTTTTTTCGGTCAGGGTAGAAGGTTTACTCACTGCAATACACGCTGGGCTTTTTACCTTGGTCACACTCAGCGGCCTGCTTGGCCGCTTCGGGTGCGCTCCAGGGCGATGTGCGAATGCTCACTTTCCTGACGGGATCAGTCATCGATCATTGCATGCGCCCAAGACCGAGAACAGATGCAGAGTATGGGCGAGCGGACAGAGGGCGGCCGGTTGAAGGGGATCGAGTAGGAATCATGGACAGCCAAGAAGGGGACAGGCAGCAATTTGCACGCTCTCTCGTCGGCAAGGTTACCTCGACAGGAGGAATGGGCCACCCATAGATGTCGTCTGGTCGACCTTGTCCGACGCCTCTTGCGGTTTCTGCCCGTGCCTACATGACGCTGCAGCTCGAGCCGGCCAGGTCCGTGAGCCCTGATGTTTCCTGCTCACGGCGGCTTGGGACTGGACTACACTTGCAAAGGCAGCATGTCGTCTGAGCTTTCCCGACAATTCCTGTTTCTACTTTGTCCGTTGCTCCCGAACGCCAGGCCAGATTCGGTTGGGGCCGTCTAATCATAAATCCTCCTTGCGCGAACATGTCTACTGACCCTGGACGGGCAGTCTTCTTTGCGGCTTGCTATACCTACTCCTTCCTGCTCGCATCCTCGGGGCCGATGTCACGGTCCTTTTGGTTATCGCCTTGTGACCTAGAAGAAAGGTACTAACAACCCCCCTGCTGATCGTCCATACTTGACGGCCTATTCTCTCTGGAGTGCCGAGAAAGGGGAAATGATGCTTGCAAGTAGAGCCAATCTCTTCGTTTTCTCCCTATTAGCCTCGGCCGCGATAACGGCAGCCGCGCCGAGACCAATCGCAGTACCGCCACTACTACCACCATCATCCTTCGCGGACAGCAATGCACGGGTGCCCGGCGACGGCCGCCCCCTCATTGCCGCATCGCCGCATCGTCGCCACAGCAGCAGCAGCAGCAGCAGCAGCAGCAGCAGCAGCAGCAGCAGCAGCAGCAGCAGCAGCAGCAGCAGCAGCAGCGAGGCGGACGGCCCG